CCTTCAAGAATAGAAAATATAAATTATCTACCTAATACACAGAAACAAATGGAGTAGGCAAAATGAAGAGATAAAGGAATATGTTCCAAATAAAGTTCATGACAAAAACATAAGAAAAATAACTAAACAAAACTGAGATATTTAATCTACCAGATAAAGAGTTCAAAGTCATGATTATAAAGGTGTTCACCAAATTCAACAAGGAAGAATACAGTAAGAACTTCAACAAAAAGATAAGAAATATAGAAAAGGATTAAATGAGACTGAAGAATACAACGATTGAGATGAAAATTACACCAGTGTGAATCAACAGCAGGTTAGATGATGCAAAAAAAAAAATATTCAATGATCTAGAAGGCAGAGTACAGCAGTGGAAATGGCCCAATCAGAACAGCAAACAGAAAAAAAGAATTTTAAAAAATGGGTTAGTTTAAGACACGTCTGGGACATCAACTGCACTAACATTCATATTATAGGGATCCCAGAAGGAAGAGAGAAAGGGACAGAAAACTTACTTGAAGAAATAAAAGCTGCCCTGCCTGGTGTGGCTCAGTTAGTTGAGCATTATTCCATGTACCAAGAAATCACCAGTTTGATTCCCAGTCAGGACACATGCCTGGGTTGCGGGCTAGATCCCCAGTAGGGTGCATGCAGGGGGCAGCTGATCGATGTTTCTCTTTCATCAATGTTTCTCTCTCTCACTCCCTTCCTCATTGTCTGAAATCAATAAAAACATATCTGGAGAAAAAAAGAAATGAAAGCTGAAAACTTCCCTAACCTGTGAAATGAAAGCTGAAAACTTCCCACATCCAAGTTGAGGAAGCATGAAATTCCCAAACAAAATGAACCAAAAAAGACCCACACTAAAACACATCATAATTTAAATGTCAAAAGTTAAAAATATTCAAAGTGTCCATAAGTAGGTGAGAGGATAAAAAATCTGTGGTACATTTACACAATGGAATATTACATAGCCATAAAAAAGAAGGAAATCTTATCCTTTGTGACAGCACGGATGGGCCTGGAGAGTATTATGCTAAGTGAAATAAGCCAGTCAGAGAAAGGCAAATACCATATGATCTCACTTATATGTGGAACCTAATGAACAAAATTAACTAACAAAGGAGAAACAGTCTCATAGATACAAAGAACAGACTGACACCTGTCACATGTAATAGGTGTTACAGGGCTGAGTGAAAAAGGTGAAGGGATTAAGAGAAAACAACAACAGTACAGTAAAACATTGATATAATGGATTAATTTGGGCAAGGGGGTGTCAGTTGAAGCTGAAAGTCTGTTATATGAAGTAGGTTTTCCGAATGTATATGTTAAAAACTTGACAAATTAGTTTACCTGTTTTTACTTATGTAGACACATTTGTATAATTAAGTGTATGTACAAAAACTTTAATTTCACAGAAAAGTTTTCTAGTTGTATTACTGTAATTTTAAATTTATACTGAATAGGTATAGTAAATGCATGCATTCATCAGCCACCCGAATAAACAAATGCACAGGGCTGGGGCATGGCTTAGTGCACATGGGAACATCGTAGGCATGCAACAACAGAACCAGTTACCTCAAGATGTGGTATCATCACATCTTAAGCATTCCCCAAACACTGTTTATGAGCGGTGACTTGGATTTAAATATGTAGACTATAGTTGTAGATATGAAGTAGTTATTTATGTCAGAGAAATTACTACAGTTTTTTTCTCTAACATATTGCCTATTCACTAAAATTAGTCAAAAATAACTGAATTAATAACAAAGAATTACTTGTTAATTTAATTATAAGCACATCTTATTCAAAAGCATTTTAAAATTAACAGGCTGTTAATTTTTACATAGGGCATATGGACCAGAAATTTTGCCTGTTAAATCCAAAGTCCATTAAATTGAAGTCCTCAAAATCAAGGGTTTACCATGTGGTGATTATCAGAGGGAAAGGGTGTGGGGGAGGTAGTAGAGGGTAGGGGAGATAAATGGTAATGGAATGAAACTTGACTTAGGATGGTGAACACATCACACAACACACAGATGATGTATTATAGAACTGTACCTCAGAAACCTCTATAATTTTTTAACCAATGTCACTCCAATAAATTCAATAAAAAAGTTTGTTAAAAAGTTTTATAGAGAGGATCTTTTAAAAAGCAAGAGAAAAAACAACCAGTAACGTACAAAGTAGCTCCTATAAGAGTAAAAATTGATTTTTCAGCAGAAACTTTGCAGGCCACAGAGGATAGCACAATATATTCTAAGTGATGAAAGGGGGAAAAAAACTTCCATCCAAGGCTACTATATCTGGCAAGGCTACCATTCAGAATTGATGGAGAGACAGAGTTTCCCAGGTAAGCAAAAGCTAGAAGCATTCTGCAACACTAAACTGACATTATAAGAGATGTTAAAGGGAATTCTTTAAGCACAAAAAAAAAGGCCAAAACTATAAATGAGAAAATTCATAAAAGAGAAAATCACCACTGGTGAAGGCCAAAATACATTAAAGGTAGTTAATTAATGACTTATAAAGCTAATATAAAGAGTAAAAGACAAAAGTAATAAAAATTACCTATATCTACAATAATTACTTAAAAGATACACAAAAAGATGAAAAATATGACACAAAAAACATAAAACATGGTACAGGAGTAAAAAAATGTGATACTTTCAGAATGTGGTCAGACCTAAGCAACAATCAACTTAAAATAAACTGCCATATACTTAGGTTGTTATATATGAATCTCATGGTAACCACAAACCAAAAACTTAAAATAGATACACACACACACACACACACACACACACACACACACACAAAAGAGAGTGGAATCCAAACATAATATACCTTTTAAGCCTGATCGGAGTAGTTCTAGTGTAGAGGCTGAGGAAGATGCCAAATTGCAAAGGGTTTGACGAGTAATAAAATATGAGGAAGGAGAGATGCCAGTCATTTCTTCCAAGAATGTCTCTGACCCAAGGTAGACAAATATGTGTACATTTTACCTTTGGAAATATCTACTTTTTTTTTTTTTTTTAAATTCTACAACCTTATTTAGTAATGTCTCCTTTTTCTGAGTCACACTTCCTAATACATAACAACAAATAAAAATTATGAAATTAAAATTGTTACCAAAAAAGGCATTTAGCAG